ATTTTTAAATTACCCATTTTAAACAGTAAATTAGAAGTACTTTAGTGGCTTATGTTATACTGTAATGATCTCAAAATATATTCCAAGCATTAATCTAAATTCATTTTTGTTTGCTAATATGATAATTCTGACAAGAACCCTATGTGGCATGTTTCATTAATATCTTCATTTTAGTTAGCAAACTGACAGAGTATCCCCGAAGTCAGACAACTAGTAAATGGCAGAGCTGGGATTTTAATCCAACCAATGTGGTTCTAGAGTTCATGCTTTCACCACTAAACTTCACTCAGTGCCTTTCATGATAGTCATGAGGGGAACTCTCAATTCCATACCCAAATGCAAAAACAAACAAACAGAATCTAAGTATAGTTGAATAAATTGTGATAGGTACTAATTTCAGTGTGCTCTACAACTTTAAACAATATATTCTGCCAGGCCTGTGTGGCTCAGTGGTGGAGCATCAACCCATGAACCTGGAAGTCATGGTTAGATCTGAAGTCAATGCAGATGCCTGAGCATCTGGCTGGATAGGGGGTGTGCAGGAGGCAGCTGACCAATGCTTCTCTTTCATCGTTGATGTTTCTATCTCTCCCTCTCTCTAACATCATATATATATATTTCTGAAAATTTTTTAAAATACCCCAAAGTTATTATCTTCTATAGCTACTGTTCACATTTAATACTGTATGCTTTAAATTTATATAAAATTTCTTTTTTCAGATCAATTAAAATCTTTCAACCTCTCATCCATTCTATTCCTTTCTTTCAATGATTCATGTATATACTTCTATTTCATAATTTTATCCCTGACACATTAAAAACTTATCACTCTCTCCCTAGTTATGAGTAGTCTAGCAAATTGAATACAAATTGTTCCAGATGTCTTTATAAATACTTAAGTTTAGACAGCAATTAAGATTTTTGTTAGCTTGCATTTCTTTTTTAAAAAATTAGCTCATTTTAAAGAGCACAATACAAACTAGCTTTCAGATACATGCTGTATCACTCTGACTTTTTGTGTAAATTATATTAGAGATTTTGAGTCTGAAAGGGAGATTGTGTCTTTTGTTCATATATCTATTTGCATAGAAATTCTTTTTAAAAAATTCAGTATTATGGGAGCAGTATTGAGCTCTTATAGATCTTCCTTTTTCCTGTGTCCATAGTTTTCACTCTTGTTTCTTCCACTGGACATCAAGACAACCCACAATGAATTCAAAACAAACCTTAAGAATTTTCAATGAACGTCAAAAAGTTTGGCTTTAAAATTTTGATTTATATTTATATCTACTCAAACACATGTATATGTGTGTGTGTGTGTATATATATATATATATATATATATATATATATATTCATATATATATATATATTCTCCCCTTTCTGATGAAATACTCTAAGAAAGAGAGAAATGGCCATTTAGTGATGCCTTGTTACATAGACAATTTGCTCCTATTAAAAACAAATAAAAAATAGCACAGATCCAGAATGGCATCACTTGTGCTAAAGCCCATGATATCAAATCTAGGTTTATAACCTGACCTAACTGCAGTTCTGACCTTCACCAGATATCTAATCTTAATCAGTCCAGGATTTTCAGATTTTGGTAAAGTAATCCATCACAAGGACTTTCTTCATTTTCCAAAGGAGGAAGAAGCAATCTGCATGAAAAAGCGCTAGCCTTTGTTGCCTCTAAAAAGATGATGTTCTGCCCTAAAAATAATTATTTCTTTTCTTTTGCTAATAGCTTATTTGCCCCACCCTTCTTCCTATAAAATCATCCATTTCAGACAACTCCTCCAAGCACCCTTCTAGTTGCTGGATGGGATGTTGCCAGATTCATAAATTGCTTAATAAAGCTAATTAGATCATGAAATGAACTTGACTGAATTTTGGGTTTTGACACCCCAGATCCACAGGATACATTGCACCTCCCCCAGTGGATGCCTGAAGCTGCAGATAATAACAAACCCTGCATATGCTATGCCTCTTCCTCTACATACATATCAATGACAATGCTTAATTTATAAATTAGCCACATTATGAGATTAACAACAATAATAATGAACTAGAAATTACTATAAAAGTTGTGTGAATGACTTTGGGCTCATTATTAACTAAAATAAAGATTACTTGATCATAATCATTGTGATGCTGTGACAATGAAATGGCTACTATTGACTAATGAAAAGGTAGAATATACAGCAAGGATACACTGGATAAAGGGATGATTTACTTCCTGGGTAGGACAAAGTGGGAAAGCATGACATCACACTACTCAAAACGGCAAACAATTTAAAACTTATGAAGTGCTTATTAAATTGTTTATTTTAATTTTCTATTTAATATTTTCTGACTGTGGTTGACCAAGGGTAACTGAAAATAAGGCGATAGAAGAGGGCTAGGCAGTCAGGGATTGGACCTTGAGAGAGGGAGAAGAATAGGGAAAACCTAGGATAACAGGACCTTGCAGACATGGATAGGCTGCAGCCTGCTGACTGTACCTTGCTCTAAGAAAACACACACACACACACACACACACACACACACACACACACACACAAACGCACAGGGACAAACAAAATGACCTAGAGTTGAACCCAGCTAGGAGGGAGTTGCTAGGGCAACCCAGCTAGGCAGGAACAGTGACATCACCTGGGACCTGAAGTGGCAGTCCTCAATCAGGTCCTCAGGTCCATCCTGTCCATCTATTCCATTCATTCATAAAATGTAGGGATGTTGTTAAGGCAGAATTCTTTGAAAGAACCAATCAGAAGCCAGAAAAAAATATATATATCTCCCCTCAGACAAAGAATCTTAACCAGCAACCCACATGGGCCCCCTTCCTGCTGCTCCCTACAGCAGGGAGTCCATCCATCTTTCAATAAACTTTGCTTCTTTTTACCATCTTTGCCTGTAAAACCAATTCTTTAGTTTTGGGAGAAAGTTTTGGACCGATCAGACCAGAAGTTTTGGCATCATCATCACAGAAAGAGGCCCTAGCTGGTTTGGCTCAGTGGATAGAGCATTGGACTGCAGACTGAAGGGTCCCTGGTTTGATGCTCAAAGGCACCACATGCCTGGGTTGTGGGCTCATCCCTACTATGTGCAGAAGGCAGCCAATCAATGATTCTCTCTCATCATTGATGTTTCTATCTCTCTCTCCCTCTCCCTCTCTCCCTTCCTCTCTGAAATCAATATATATATATATAGCACAGAGAGCAACTACAGATAAGGGGAGACCACTGTAAACTTGTCAGAATAGCTAATGGAGGATACTTCCCTTTTTTCCACTCCCTACTGTCTTTTTGTTCTGCTATATGAATAAGATTACAATGCATAGGGGTCCTTAAAGACACAAGATGGCTTCGGAGTCTCACTACCTTTTCAGAATATCCCTGTCACTTGTTATGGTTTTTTTAAAAAATGTTTAAAGCTATCTCTGGTCAGCCTTGTTAGTTTTTATTCCTAAAATGTATTCTTAGTGCCAACATTATTTTTTCAGGTCATCAATGTGCCCAGCCCCAGAAGATGAACCATAGCTGCTGTCATCCAGAGATGATTATCTCCTCCCCCTTAACCACAGACAGACTTCCTCAACTTTCCTTTCTGCTGTGCCGGCTCATGTGATAAAGGTCTATAAGGAGAAGCTGGGTGGGAAAGGACACTGGGACAGTGCTCTCTCAACTAAAAGGAGACAGAATCAACCTCTATAAAAAAGTCTTTAGCACTCTTTCCACTCGCTTACACTCAGTTTTGCTAATGCGTATAATATTCACAAGCAGCCAGCAGACAAGGCATGGGAAACATAACCAAATTTCAGGTTATGTATATATACTTAATCTGTCACACCAAGCCTTGAGACACATCAATCTAAGGCTTTTATTAAATAATAATAATAATAATAATAATAAATGTTAAAGTTATATAAGCAACTGTTTTTTAGGCTTTCTGTTACTACTGTCCACATACCATGGTTATGGTCATTGTAGCTAATATTTAGTGAATATTTATACAATAAATGATAGCCATGAGGGAAAAGATTACCAATTCAGTAGTTCTCTACTTTTAGTGTACTTTGGAGTGTCCTGGGGAACTAATAAAAATGCATTTCTACCCTCTGAAATTTTCATTCAGAGAATCTGAGGTTGGGTCAAGGAATCTGCATTTTTACTATGCTTTCCTGGTGATTTGGCTTAAATTGTTTGGTGGATCCTGCTTTGAGAGATACTTCAGTATGAGCTAAGAACCAATCATTGTAGAGCAGGGGGTGCAAGTGGTTGAGAGAGTGAAGTTTACAGTGAGTGGAAACAATCTTCTCCCCTATTCCATCCCATTTGCCAGGTAGAAGAATATTTATACAAATTACACTGAGGCCAGGGCTACTTCATTTTCCAAAGGAGGAAGTGCAAACTATACTGAGTACTGTCAGAGAACTTACACATTTTAAACAACTTATTTACTTCATAAGTTCATAGGAGAAAAGTAAGAGGAATTGAATACTCACATTAGCTTGAATGATGACATAGTAGCGTGTTTTATCTTCATAGTTGAGCCTTTTCCTTAACACTACATTTCCAGTCAACATGAGGGGAATTTCAAAGGTTTCATTGGATGTCTGAAAATAAGTAAAGACAAAGATTCAAAATGCATTAGGGGTTTTGATAGTGTAGTTTAGTCCTATTGAAAGTTACAGAGAGCATGCTTCTTACCTGAAAATAGAATGTGAGTGTACACTTCAGATTTACTATTCTTATTTCTGAAAACTTTTCATTTTGATTAATGGGTTTTATCAGTCTTTTGATAATGGTAACCAGGAATCCTGTTCCTTGTGATAGTTTAAAAAATATTTTTAGATTATTTCTAAATCAAAGTCTAGGTATCTGAAAAATTTCCCTGTTATTATATTACCTTTTCAGCACTTGTTTTTATCATCGCTCAAACATTCCAATCATTCTACATAATATCCCTTTTCAACGTTGGTGTCCACTCTGTATTCTAAGCTTTTTTAAGTATTAAATCCAGCTATTAAATTGAAACACTGTTTTTGTGAAAAATCATGTATGTTATAGTTTACTTTTTATTCATATCTGGGAACTGCTGCTCATTAGTTAAATCTCCTACCCTGTTAGGGATTGAGTTTTTTCCTGGTAACATGCATATCATAAGGGCAATTTCCAACATTCTTTCCCTCAGTGTAAGACAGTGTATTCATAACTCAAAAGAATATAACTTATAAAATCAGTCTCTTATCCATAAAAAATTCCTTACATCACTCTCTCTGTGTTTTAATGCCATTTAGAAGATTGATAAAATGGTCCAACCAAGTTCTCTGCTAAAATAAACAGACAAACAATCAAAACAAAATTTTTCTTAGAGGAATATAATGAAACCAAGAGTCTCTCCACAATGTAACATTTCCAATGTTCAGGATAGAGTCCAAAACAAGTTGATATACGATGAACCAGGAATGTGATCTCTTTTCAAGAGGAGAAAGTATCAAGGAAGACCAATGTTTGAAGAAGTAGACAAGGACTTTTAAATCAGCTATTCATAACTATGTCTATATTGAGAGATGTAAAAATAATATTCTCACTGTAGGTGAAGAGCTGAGAAAAGCACAACCAAGAAAAACAAACTATAAAAATGTGGAAAATCAAGACCTGAATATTATACTATCTGAAATTAAAACACACACACATACACACACACACACACACACACACACACACACACACACACATTGAATATGTTTAATAACAGAATGGGGATGACAGAGAAGACAGTAACCTTAACTATAGATCAACAGAAAATTGAAAGTTGCAGATAAGTGATTAAAATCTATTGAAAATATTTGAGCAGAGCCTGTACCTATGGAGAAATATTTAAATGCCTGAAATTCCTGTAATTGCCATCTCAGAGGAAGAAGTGTAAGGGAAATAGGCTTGAAAATATAAACAAACAATGACTGATAATTTCTTTAACTGGTGAAATAAAAATGCAGAGATTTAACAGCATGGATGGAACTGGAGAGCATTATGCTAAGCGAAATAAGCCAGTCAGAGAAAGATAAATATCATATGATCTCACTCACTTGTGGAATATAATGAACAACATAAACTGATGAACAAAAACAGATCTAGAGACAGAGAAACATCGATCAGACCATCAAACCTCAGAGGGAAGGTAGGGGAGGGCAGGGGTAAGGGGGAGAGATCAACCAAAGGACTTGTATGCATGCATATAAGCCTAACCAATGGACACAGACACCAGCGGGGTGAGGGCATGAGTCGGGGGGTGGGGACAATGGGGGGATAAGGACACATATGTAATACCTTAATCAATAAAGAAAAAAAAGAATTTCAGTAACCTATTTCAAAATAGATAATTATAAAAAACAAACAAATAAACAAACAAAACAACACACACACAAAGAAAACTACAATTTGGCATGCCATAGTTAAGTTGCCAAACACTCAAGATTAAAAAAAAATCTTGAAAACATACTGAGAAACATGATTCAAATTTCTATTGACTTCTCTTATCAGAAACTCTGAAGGCTATTGTTTGAAATAATGGGAAGAATTAATTTAAATAATTTGTATTACTGTAAGGCAGAAGTGACTTTTGCAAATTTCTACAAGGATAAAGCAGATTCTGTAAGTGAATGAAACCCCTTGGAGTATAAGCAGCTATACATATATTTTCTGAGTGGTGGAAATTCATTCCTCATGAGAACACAGCAGAGCAACTCTAATTGATCATCTTTTTGGAATTATTTCTATTTCTTAAGAGAGAAGAGAAACCATGTTTTGAATGTGAAATTTCATGATTGGGTCAAAAATTATTTAAAATGATTTGTGGCCAAACAAAATGTTGAAATCCAGGTCACTAATTTGTAATTTCTATTAATGATTAATATAGTATCATATTAAAACAACAACAACAACAAATAAAACTCTAAGATTTTTAAGTAGAATAGAGCAATCTACACTTTTCATGGTTCATCCTACAGTGTAAGATTAATCTAAAAGAAATTACAATTGTGGTTGCAAAAACAAGAGGTAGCCACATTTTTAGGTTAAATACGTTGGTAGTATATACAATTTTTTTAAATTAAGAAGTTAGTAGGTGAATATTATGCCATCTATCTATATAAAAAGCCAGCGACTGTAACGCTGTAATGACCAGAACGACCAGTCACTATGACGCCCACTGTGGCCAGCGAACTGGCCAACCTCCCGCGGCCCCTCCCCCCAGCCAGCCTGCCCCTGATTGCCCCCCATACACCAATAGGGGGGAGGGCTGACCAGCCAATGTCCTGCAGCCCCTCCCCCCAGCCTATCCCACCCCCAATGGGACCCCATCACCCTGATCAGCCCACAACCCCTCCCACACCCGGCCTCACCCCAGATCTGCCCCCCCACCAGATCAGGGGCAGGGCCAGCCAGCCAACTGCATGTGGCCCCTCCCCTTGGCTGCGGGCCCCCAATGGGCTCCCCCACCCCAATCGGGGGCAGGGCCCACTGGCCAATTGCCCATGGCCCCTCCCCTAGGCCAGCCTGGCCCTGATCGGGCCCTGATCGGGGTGGGCCGTCCGGCCAACCTCCCACCGTCTTCTCCTCCCGACAGGCTCAGCCCCGATTGGGCCCGGGTGGGCCAGACCCCACCCATGCACGAATTCGTGCACTGGGCCTCTAGTTGTTAATAAAAGGAGAATTATTATATAAAAATAGAAGAGTGGCAGAATATTAATACCACCAGGTATTTTTCTCATAGACCTTACAAGAGAAAAATCTGGTACTGAGGTTTACACCAAGTTTCTATGATGCTAAAGATGGATTCTCTCTGCAAGGACATGACTGGGTTAATGTTTTCTCCCCCAATAGATCCTAAGTTAAGTGCTGTCATGATGTCTTATTCTGCCTCATTGAATTAGAACCATGCACAGAGAATGTCTTTATTCCACTGTACTACTAGCTTGCTGAAGGACATTTTTCTTTCTTTTCTTTTTTGTAATCTGGAAACTGCATGTGGCTGATTGGCTTATCCAATCTATAGGCAGTAAAATGTATATATTGTATTTTATGCCAAGCCTACAGTTCCCTGAAAGGGAAAAGCATTCAGAAGGAATTACTGCACAGCTAACAAGGAATTTCAGCCTCACAAAACTTCAAAAAGATAGCTTCTAAGTAATACATTTTGTCTCCCACTATATCCAAACCTTGAATAGTTTTTTCTAAAGCAATGTAAGAAATGTTTCCCTGGTTTGGCCATTCTATACTTGGCTGGGAGGTTTCATTTATACAACTTGAGGAGTAAAGATTAGGAAATGACCTTCATAAATTGTAAGCTAGGAACATGGCACACACATATAATTAATTCTTTTAAAAACCTAAACAGTAAAGAAAATAAATGGATTAGAAATAAAATGTGTAGTCAGCTGTTTGTACTTTTAAGGAAAACCTGTTTCTCTTGCCCTTTTCTCCTCTATTTCTTTGATCTTTTCCACCCCATTTGTTGTATAACCTTTCATCCTTATTGTCCTTCTCTGTCACTTTCTCATTACTTCCCCATCTCTTGGTTTCACGTGGAGACATACTTCCTAGGGGAAAAACAAACCACTCCACACCCTCCCCGTCTTCCCTTGACCCTACTATGCCCATAGGCTTTTTTTTCTTTCATTTTTCATTCTCCAATTTTTTTGGAAAATTTTATTAGAACACAACAGAGAAGGAGTGGAGCACATGCTACTCTGAAATCAGAGTCCTGACTCTATAGCTGAGAAGTGGATGCGTGATACCAGGTAAATCACTTCACCTATGAGCCTGTTCTCTCTTCTTTGCAAGGGAGTTACTACTATTAACTGATTAATTTGTGAGAATAAAAGGAGAAAATTCATTCACAATTCACTTAATTCTCACAATAAACTTGATTGGAGATCTTTTGTGAATTTTTAGTCTGAATAAGCACAAGCGTTTCTGTTGTTTGTTTAAAGCTTACATAAGAAATCTATGATATAAAAATAAAGATATTATCTTCACCACTTTTTATATTCCTAATATTAACGCAAAGGAGAAGCATTCCTTTAGAAATCTCATTTAAGAAGTGAGTTTAAAACTATGCTTTGGGAAGCCCATGATGTGAGGAGTTGTCTTGGGAAAAGAGGAAGACAAGATGGCAGGTATAACACCAGCTTTAGCTTCAGCAAATCAATTCTGATTTCATCTGTGTTAGATAGATGATTTGAAGAAATAAGTTCACAGCCTAAAACATCCACAGCCAGAGGCTCTGTCCTCCTCTCCACCTCAGGTTTCCTTGGTAGGGAAGTGGCAGTGGTGGCATTCATTTGTAAGTTCCATAAAGCGTGTGAATCACACTGGTTATACCACATCCAATGATTTCTTTAGAATGCTTAGAAATCCACAAACATCATGGAGATTTATTAAAAATGCCATATTAAACCTAAAACACATCTTAAATTATTGCTTACAAATACCACCAAAAATTAGTTTTTCAAAGCGTAGCCCACATTTAAAAGAATGCAATTTTGAGGTAGTACTTGATTATACTATTATTACTCTTGTGGTTCTAATAGAATAAATAATAAATATCACGAGAAGTAAGCATCGATTTTATTACTCAGAGTGAAGTCACCCTGCAAGTAGCTATTTACATACCGGATCATCTGGATTATACTGAATCACATATTCTATCTGTCCGTTTGGGCCGTCATCGATGTCTGTAGCTCCATTGTCTCCTGCAAATCCAGTAAATATCGTGGTGCCAACTGGGGTGAGCTGAAAATAAAAGAAGAGGAAATCTGTCGATTCTCACTTCATCAGTAGCACACCAGAATTGTGCCAGCGCAAAACACAGTCCTTTATTACACAAAGGAGAGTGGACAGCTGCCCACAATCACAGACCCAAAGTGACTCAAAAGAACCCTTGCAAACCTTACATAAAAGCGTATAAAGTCCACAATGACCAACATCAGGGTCCTTGCATTGGGATAGAGAAATAGAAGACCCAGATTCAGTCTGCAGCACATTTGGACCAATTTATGACCATTAGCATCTTAGCCCCTGTGGAGAAAATGCATCTGTTGTTCCTCCTTAAAAACGCCTTAATGCATTAAGTTATCTACAAGCTAGAATTTAAATTGTATGTGCAAGTGAGTTACTCTATTTAAAAACAAAAAACGTTTCAGAGAGCTCAATAAAGTTCAGGTTGGTAATTGCATGCAAGTGGTAAGTTTAAGCAAGAATGTCAAAGACAACAGATGCCCCAGCTAGCAAAGGAGAAAGAAAGCTGGGCATTTCTTCGTGCTCACAAGATTGTTTGAGTAGAAAGCTGTTATGTGACAGGAGTTGGTCATATATTTTCATTTGGATTAAAACAACCACCACAAAACTTAATGAAGCAAATACAAGCAGGATTTGTTGTTTGGCTTTACTTCTTACTAGAGGCCCGATGCACGAGATTCGTGCAAGGGGCTCAGCCCTCACAGCTGCGGAAGCTTGCCTAGGCCCTGGCAGCCCAGGCTTGGTCCGGAAGGTCGTCCAGAAGGACATAGAGCCTAATTAGCATATTATGCTTTTATTGTTATAGATTCATCTCCACCACAGAATCACTGTGATTTTGTCTTACCTGTAGGTCTTTGCACAATGTGTCCCTACATCCAGAGTCTCCATTCCTCAAGCTTTACCTGAGTACCCCTACCCATTAGTTATAGTCCAACTTATTTATGGATCACCTTCAACAGCCTGATGGGAATGATACCAGCTGGGGAGCATGTACCCTCTTTGAGGTGGTATTTACTCCTCAGCCCCAGCAAATTCTTGGCATAACGGAATAAGGAGTCATTGTTACTGGGTCTTCTAAAAGTCTAATTTTATAAGTAACCTCTTCATTCTAAGGTTGGCAACAGATTTTAGAGAAATAAATTATACATTTAATGAACAAACAAAATACATCCACTGGCACAGTAACTCCTGCAGCTTGTAGCCTCCAATTTAGAAAAATACAATACAATTATGATTTAAAAAATATACCAAAAGTACAAAGTACAACAGTGGTAGATTTCAGCATCCCATTTCATTCAGTGGGTATTTATAAAGTCAATCCTCCAGGCAGGCAGCTTTAAAAGGCACATTTTTGACTTTCTGCAGGTCAAAGAGACCTGAGAATGAAGTGAGAGTATACAGCTTACACAGCACATGTAGCCTTTACTTGATAGAGTTACCATCTGACCCAGCAATCCCTCTCCTAGGTATACCAGGTATATCCCAAAAAACTGGAAATCATGTATTCACAAAGATATATGCACCCTATGTTCATTGCAGCATTATTCACGGTGGCCAAGACATAGAGCAGGGGTCCTCAAACTTTTTAAACAGGGGGCCAGTTCGCTGTCCCTCAGACCATTGGAGGGCCGGACTATAGTTTAAAAAAAAAACTATGAACAAATTCCTATGCACACTGCACATATCTTATTTTGAAGTAAAAACAAAACAAAATGGGAACAAATACAATATTTGTATTTGCATGTGGCCCGTGGGCCGTGTTTGAGGACCCCTGACATAGAGACAACCAAAGTGTCCTGCAATAGAGGACTGGATAAAGAAGATGTGGTTCATATACACAATGGAATACTATTTAGCCATAAGAAAAGATGAAATACTGCCATTTGCGACAACATGGATGGACCTCTAGAATATGATACTAAGTGAAATAAGCCAGTCAGAAAAAGATAAGAACCATATGATTTCACTCATATGTGGATATAAACCTGAAGCTCATGGACACAAACAGCAATGTGGTGGTTGCCAGAGGGAAGTGGGTGGGGAAGGTGGGGGGTGAACGGGGCCTAATGTATGGTGACCAATGATTTGACTTTGGGTGGAGGGCACACAGTGCAATATACAGATCTTGTATCATAAAAATCTATAAATGAAACTTATCCTATTAACCAAAGTTACCTCAATAAAAAAAAAATAGCACATGTAACACTAAAAGACCATTGGGGGATAGGTTTAGTGGAAATGTTAAGTTAACTAAAAGGCTTCCAAGTAAAATTTATATATTTTTAGTGTAATCTCTGTCCCAAAGGACACTGTTCTCTCTCATAAAACTTCTATCATTCTTATATAGCTATTATTTGATTTTTAAATTATGCAATTTTAAAATTGAATGACAACAACTTGTTTCCAGATATCTAATAAAAAACACTTAAAAGTATTTCTTCAAACATCTTTGTTGGCAAAGAAAATCACTGTGTCATGGGTTGAATTAAAACATCAGAACTAAAATGGATCTACACATTACAAACACAGTCTACCACTCAGATAGTTAGCCTGTTCAGATATGCGCTAGGGTGTGGAATATTTGAAACTAGTATAATAGAAATAGCTAAGAAAAAAAGAAGATAAAATATTTTGTGCTAATATGGAAAGTCTGGCAAGACAAAAAGAGCTCCAATAAAATAATCTATACTAGATGCACATAAACAATAGAGTTGGAATACAAAAAATGGTTTTAAAAAATAGTAGACTACTTTGTTAATTTTCTTTATGTACAAACAATAGAAATATATACATATCTATGAGCACACACATATTAGATGAACATAAATACACACACATTACCCTAACTTATTCTCATTACAGGGTAAATTGCACACTGATGCTTGGTGAATTTTTAAATAGTATGTGGGAGTTTAATTCTTCACATGACAGTCAGGTAGTTTATTATAATGTACTAGCGGCCCGGTGCACAAAAATTTGTGCACTCGGTGGGGAGAGGGGGTCCCTCAGCCCGGCCTGTGCCCTCTTGCAGTCTGGGACCCCTCGGG